AGACTGATCATTATACCGTCAACTGGTCATGGTTGATATAGTAGACTGATCATTATACCGTCAAGTGGTCATGGCTGATTAGTTACAGCTGATACAGTTGACTGATCACAGTTCATAAAGTTAACTGGTCATGGCCGACTGGTCAGGATAAACACAGTTGACTTGTCACGGTCTTGTTCATACAGTTGACTGATCACAGTTTATAAAGTTAACTGGTCATGGCCGACTGGTCAGGATAGACACAGTTGACTTGTCACGGTCTTGTTCATACAGTTGACTGATCACAGTTTATAAAGTTAACTGGTCATGGCCGACTGGCCAGGATAGACACAGTTGACTTGTCATGGTCTTGTTCATACAGTTGACTGATCACAGTTTATAAAGTTAACTGGTCACGGTCAACTGGTCAGGATCGAAACAGTTGACTCATCACAGTTTATACAGTCGAAAATTTATCTTAACTCGCCCCTAAACTAAACCTCATGAAAACATAGAATGTATGGGTTACTAAATGTCAGCAGTGTTTATACCACTGTCCAAAATAAGGTATTAGTAAGTATAGTATCAGTGTCAGATTTCTGGTCATTTCATTGTCAGATTTAGATATCTGTGTCAGAAGGTATGTTTCAGGTAGTGTATTGCTCATTTCACTGGCATTGTGATGAATGCTCATCATTTTTTATTCCATTGTTCCATCCCCACTCTAAGGTGCATGTAGAAAAACAAAATCATTTTTCATTTATTTACAAAATTCTTCTGGTGCAATTATATTTTTTTTTCTATTTTTCTACCTTTTATAACCTAGCTTTATGTCAATAGCATTTTCAAAATAAGTCTTGGTGCATTTGTTCGGCAAATTGTAGACTTTCCAATACAAATACGTTAACAGAAAGGGTCCACCAACTGACTCTAGATAATTGAGGAGAAACATGGGATCTTACAATCAGTAGGTAATCATTAGTGATAGCTCCTAGTAACTGCACTATAAGTGTAGTCAATCAGGTAGACCACTACCTTCCACTTGAAACCCTACCATCTGTAGGTAAATAGAATTTCCTGTAATGTTAGTGCAATCAGCAAAACACATGATTGGTCAATACCTAACTTAACATCAGACATCCTAATAAAATGTATGATTGGTAACAGACATATAACAAAATACTATAACAAAGCATATGATTGGTCAATACCAGACAACTCATAAACAGATTATAACAAGGCATATGATTGGTCAATACCAGAAAATTCATAAACAGATTATGACAAGGCAATAATGTGATAGGTCACTTCCAGAAAACTCCTAAAAATGTAAAGCAAAGCACTTGATTGGTGAGTAACTTACAACTCATCAACAGGCTTATCTGAATATTCCGCTTTTGTAAAGCTTGAATTTTTCTATTCATATTGCATGTGTGAATAGGGCACTCTTTTAAGGCTTCCTTCTCCTATTGCATGTGTGAATAGGGCACTCTTTTAAGGCTTCCTTCTCCTAATACATGTGTGAATAGGGCACTCTTTTAAGGCTTCCTTCTCCTAATACATGTGTGAATAGGGCACTCTTTTAAGGCTTCCTTCTCCTAATGCATTTGTGAAAACAACACTGTGGTATCCATTCCATTAGCTGTCTGTTTGCAGGTTGTTACAATATTTTGATTAAGAAAATAAGGTAATGAAGTGGTTTTACATGAATACCGGTTATAGCATGTTAGAGTGATCATCTGATAATAAGCTGTGTTTATTCGTTTGGTCACCTAATAATCAGCTGTGTTTGTTGTGAATTCAAACATATTAAGGAGTATGCTACCTTACCAAAATAAATCTCCTTGTCAGAAAAGATGTTCATAACCTGGTCAATTATTATTTAATCGTATTTTACAGACTGGTATGCATCATTGATTGCATTGGTTACACTTCTGAATTTTCAGATACAGTTAATGATAAGGGAGATAACTCTAACACAAAACGCAGGTAAAGTTTGTGAGGTAGCATATTTCCTTAGGTGTAATCGTACTAGTTGCATTAATTGTGTGGATGTGATTTTTATAGTTATACAGATATTCTTATCAGTAGTATCTATTGTTATTTTGTGCCGTATAATATTAAGTTTGTAAGTTCTATTTAATTTCTGTAAATATGTACATATGTTGTATACTCTTGTGACTTTATATATAAATATATATATACACCGAGTCCTTTACCAATCAGAAGCACATTGTAGTTTTAGTATCTATCTGTATATATTGGAGGTGTTTAACAAAATCCTTCTGATTGGAAATATGATTTAACTATTTCATGTTGGGCCTATTCCAGATAGAAATAAAGGAAAGGGACAGAGAGCCACATTTCGGTAACCCACCACCATGCACAGTAGTGTATTTCCTGGGGCTCACTAACAGTGATATTAGTGCCCCCCGTCCCACCCCAATCTTACCCCACCATTCAAATATTTATATCTGGATCAGCCTTTAGTGAATATCTTATGTGTGAGTCTGTGTTTATGCATAATTCGGTTTATGAAGTTAGTAAATTTCTGATCTCTGTGGGAGAGTGTGATCAACGTGTCAGTATGGCTGTGAACCTGAGGAATGTTTGAGGTCGTTAAGTAAGACTTGTGATTCTCTTTTAACTGTTACAATCTGTGTGGGAGAGTGTGATTAACGTGTCAGTATGGCTGTGAACATGAGGAATTTTTGATGTCGTTCAGTAAGACTTGTGATTCTCTTATAACTATTACAATCTCTGTGGGAGAGTGTGATTAACGTGTCAGTATGGCTGTGAACATGAGGAATTTTTGATGTCGTTCAGTAAGACTTGTGATTATCTTATAACTGTTACAATCTCTGTGGGAGAGTGGGATCAACGTGTCAGTATGGCTGTGAACCTGAGGAATCTTTGATGTCGTTAAGTAAAACTTGTGATTCTCTTTTAACTGTTACCAACTCTGTGGGAGAGTGTGATCAACGTGTCAGTATAGCTGTGAACATGAGGAATGTTTGATGTCGTTAAGTAAGACTGGTGATTCTCTTTTAACTGTTACAATCTGTGTGGGAGAGTGTGATTAACGTGTCAG